GGGGAGAGTGTGTCCCCCAAATCTGTGCATGGGGTGAGCCTTCCCCTGGGTGCCAAACTTCCTTGCTGTGGCACTGGACATAGCCTTAGTTCCTCAGTTTCTAGTTTAGCACAATTATACTGACTAGCCAATTGCCCATCAAGAATGATGGGGGGGGAGCAGGCGAGGATGGAGCCCCATGTCCCCCTGTCTGGGCCCACTCCCTCTTTCCCTTCTGCTGCTTGAGGACTGAGCCTGCTCTCCGCCTCCCTGCCATTACAGGGCTGGGCCTAATGCAGGGGAAAACCAGGCCTGAGGGTGGAGAAAAGCCAACCTGTTGTGGTGGGGGGTGGGGAGCAGTGTGTCCGTGCTGACCCAGCAGTGGCAGGGGGATGAGAGAAGCAGGTTTAGGGCTGACACTGGGGAGGAGAGGTGGGGGAGGAGTGGGCCTGGGTCCAAGGGGGGAAGGAGGCTTGCTCCCCCTGCTGCTGCTGCTTTGAGTCAGGCTGGGCCCACTGCTCCCTCCTCACCGCCATGGTGGACTGGCTTCTCCCCTCCCTCCTCGGGCTTGTTCCTCCTCTCCCCCACCCTGAGTTGGGCCCAGACCTACTCTTCCCCTCCCCCCCCACCACTTGCGTCAGCCCGGGTCTACTTTTTCACCCCCACTGCCATGGTGCACTCACTCCTCCCCACCATGTTGGGCCTGCTCCTCCCCACACTGGTGCTGTGTTGGCCCTGCAGGCAGCAAGAACAGAACTGGGGAAGGGAGGGCTGAGGCCAGCACCAGTGGCCTCACCCCCTGTGACATCCTGACCCCACTCCCCCCTGTGCCGCAGCCACCACCTCCAAGGAGCGAGGTGGGGGGGGCAGGATGAGGCCAGTCCTGGTGGCCTTGCCCCTGTCCTGCTCCATCATTGCCACCTGCAGGGAGTAGGGTAGAGGAGAGCGAGGCCAGCACTGCTGACCTTGCCATCTGCTCCATTGCCACTGCCTCCAGGGAGCAGGGCAGGGAGGGAGGGGGGGTGGTGAGGCCAGCACAGCCTTGCTCCATGATGGTGGAGACACAGGGGAGCACATGATGGCGGGGATACAGGGGATGGAGGGGTGGGGGGCAGGCCAGCACAGCTGGTCTTGTCCCTCCCTGCTCCATCCCCTGCATCTCCACCATCATGGAGGTGCTCCACTGAGTCAACACTTCCTGTCTCAATGCTGTATTTGCATTCTGATTGTGTGTTTCAGTCGCCCAATCAGAGCATGAATAAAGCATTATGGACAGCCAGATGGAAAGATTACGGCTTTTATCATTTTAAATTCTATATAACAAGGCTTTTCCCCTGATTTCCTTGCCTGAGGTCACTCGCATGGCTCTTTACTCTATTTAAATAGCTGACTAGAATAATTTATTTTTATTGGCTGTATTTTTCACGAGCACATATTAATTCACTAAAGTAAACAGTGCTATTGTAACTAAAGTTGGAGGAGATAGTGTTTGGCTTCAGATCTGGATTTAAATTGTAGGTCTGAGTTCATTTTCAAGACTAAATAAGAGCACAGGTTTATGTTTGGTTTTGATACTGCCAGAATCTGGTGTTCTGTTCTTGTGATATTTCAACATTAGCGGAAGGTTGATGTGATCTTTTATGCTGGACATCTTTGAGATTTTCACACATCAGATAAGAACCAGAAAAAAAAGGCTTCAGTTTGGGATCTGAAACAGAACCAAAACTATAGTGGCAGTGGGTTCATATCCAGGAGATATTCATATCCAAACAGGCATCATTATCATTACTTGAATATTTCAAGGTTTCTGTTTTGGCCCATATCTAATTATAACGCAAACTTTAAAAAGCAAAACAAAACAAAAAATCCCTTGTGAGTGGTATTCAGCATTTGTATTTCTCTTCTGGATTCTCCTGTCATCTGTACAGCTGTAACAAAACATTTTTAATAAATGCATCCATTGCTCCTTTTTCAGACTCAACCTTGGAGGGCGTGACTGACAAACCAATCCTAGACTGCTGTGCCTGTGGAACTGCTAAATATAGGCTAACTTTTTATGGAAACTGGTCAGAGAAGACGCACCCAAAAGATTTTCCAAGTGAGTATTATTAATGTATGATTATATTAGCACCTAGGGGCCACCATAAGGATTTGAGTTCCTTTCTAAAATTTTATTAAGTTTGCCCTTTAAAATCTTTCATAAGACTCTCAGTGACTTAATTGGGCATGGCACCAAGCTGCTAATGACATTACTTGCATGTGTAATACATTTTACATACTGTCCTGTTTCTCTTTATCTTTTGGAAAGACAGACAAGTCTTGAAATGCAAGCTTTGTTTTTCACTTAAAGCAAGATTTTGAAAAATGTCTAAATGATAGAATCAGTGCTCCTGTGGCAACAAAGCATAAGTAGCTATAAAGATTAAAGCCCTCCCAAACCCCAAACCCATTAAAATAGGCTTTTTGGGTTTTGTTGGCCTCTTTCCCCCTTTTATTTTCTATCTTTATATTTTTTTACTTAAATATTGGCTGCACAATCAGTGACAGTAAGGCAGGTGAATAACTTTGGTATCTAAATCACACATTTATTTGGTCTTTAAGTTTTGATATTTGGGTTTTTTGGGATCTTTATTAAAGCCTTTGTGTGTAGATCATTTTTTAATACAACTGTCACCCAATGTGGTGAAATGTCATCATGCAGTCAAAGGCTTGTCTGCATATGAATGAGTTCCTTGATACGGCTTATGCTGATGCTGTCTTACAAAACAGAATAGTTCAAATACAGCATCTGTGAGTTAGTAAAAGAGTTTACAATGACATAATTAAATTGTGTTTGACTTTCTGGTTGGGCAGCAGAGTGCATGGAAGATAAAACAAGCTGTAATTCCAGTAATTGCAGTGATATTCTTTTAGGATATTAGATGATTTGTGCATCTGCTACATAGTTCTCTTCAAATTTATTCTTTGTGTGGATTTGACTGCTGCAACCAGAATCATTTTAATAGATTAATCAAGTTATTTCTTTTCACTTCTGTGAATTTATTTAATTATGTGATCACTCTTTCTGATTTGTTTTATATAGTTGCCCTACATCTTTGTTTAACTTCTCTTCTTCCAGTCTGAAATAATTTCTAGTTCTTTATCCTCTTTCTACAGTTCTCAGTCAGTAAACATACATTATGCACTTCAAGAATGATCTGACTTTGCCACCCTACATGCATCATTACTAGTGTACTATAAAAGCGGATGGGTAGACCTCGATAAATATGGAAAAATAGTCTATACATAGTTGCTAAAATTATAAAATGAATAAGTTTGTTCTGTTTGTACATCATTTTGTTTACTTATTTGTGTAGTTGAATTGTTCTGGCACATGTCCTTGGGGGAAAAAAAAGTAAATGACAAATAAAAATTAATGAAAACTAAATTTTGTGGTGAAAGTATGTGTAAGTATGGAAGAAAATTAAGACCATGGGGCACATTACACTAGCCGCATAGCTTAGGTTCTCACAGAGGAAGAAATATGGTATAATATTTTAAATAAAAAATAACTGAGGAAACCCCAATCTTCTCATGGGTATGATAGAAGGAATTTAATTTTTTATGACAATCAGCATGGAAACATGAAGTAGGGAAGAATAAATTAAGCTTACAGAACTTCTGAAAGATCTCTAGCTCACATGGTAACACAAAATAAATCAGTGATTTATAATGATATGGGTAACAAAAGAGTCGGTAACAAAGCAGTCCCTCCATTTAGGAGGGAACAGTTGTCCTTGTTAGGAGAACCCAGGAGTGGGACATCTGGATAGGCAGAGAGTATCCCACTAGGAACTTTAAAAAACTCCCAGAAGACTAATCAAGGGAGGAAGAAGCAAATGGTGATGGGGTTAGTCTACTCTGCTGGGGTTAGAGCCAAAGGGCTCTCCTCCTAGTGCAAAGGCAGCATGGAAGGATTTGCTTTTCTCTGTTTGTTTTTCTGTTGTTTTACTTGGAGAACTGCCTGAGAAACTTATCAGGGAGCAAAACCTACCTAAGGAAGCCAGCAGGCTAGGCAATCCATTTACAGGGCTATTTTCTGATATTATCAAAATAATCTTTGCAATATAATTACTCCTGTGGTTCTTTTATTCTTCTTTCAGTTTTTATGGTAGGTCCATGTGGCTAGACGGATATCTTACAGAAGGCTTTGGTTCAAACTAGGAGTGTGTAAATGCATGAAGGCGCAAACTAAATTGTTGGGTAGGTGTTGCACAGCAACAGGATTGTTGCACATAATGATATTTGTTTATATAAAACCCCTCCTTAACTAAAACCTAGTAAGAAGACGCTATTTATCAAAGTGTAAGAAAATCTATTCTCTTTTGTTTGAGTCTTGTTTCCATTGAAACTAATTGGATTGTTGCTGCTGAGTTCAGTGGCAGAAGCATTAGACCCATGCAGAGCACCACGTAACAGATTTTCAGATGAAATTTCTGAAAGGCTGTTGTTGAAATTATTTCATCTCTATGTAGTGGTATTAAAACTGAAAAGAAATCATTGTCAAATTGCTGTTTAAAATATTGAGACCATGCAACTCTTAATTAAAATTGAAATCCTACTCTCTGCGGATTCTATGAATCACTGATTATTTGTCATCCCGCAGCAGAAATGTTGAATATATCTCCAATGCAGTGGTTTCCATAAATACATTAGGGTTGTCCATGAAATTACATATTACCTCCAGCATTAATTGGAGTAGATTTCTCATATTGAGCTCCCATGAGGAATATTATCTTAAAATGTTTACCACCTGCCACTTATGCGTTTACAGTAGAATTACAGACAGAGAATGCTGTTTCTAATTCTTTACAGTTGTAACTTTTGTAGGAAAAAATACACTTGAGCAAATTTAGAAACAGAAGTAGGTTTGTATAGGATATCTATGACACTAAAACCTGAAAGAGCTAAGTTTCCCTTTTGCCCTGATGATGTCAATATAGCTAATATAGAAAATCAACATATACATAGTAATATTTCTCATTTGTTTATGCATGTAACTTATTTGAACATTTCCCTGAATAGTCTCCATGTAACATGGGCATCAGCATTGATGTTTCTTTTCATCTCCACTCTTTCAGAGTAACCCAGCAGCACTACAAAAAGTGTCACGTAAAATTGTGGCTTTAGAAAGAATAATTAACCCAGTCCTAGATGCCATTACAACATCTAGTGTATTCTTTCCTGGGTACACAAGAGCTTGCATGTAAGACCCTATTTTATACATTTATGTTGTGGTACGGAAATTTTTCCCCTAAGGACTGCTTATGTCAAATAAATATTTTTATGATAAAAAGTTACAGCAAGAAATCTGATAAAACCTCATGTTCCAAGTTTATAAAAACCTTCCTGTGTTAGGCTTATAATAAGGAATGATTTAATAGTCATTATAGCAATGGAGCTGAAGCACCTTTATTCTGTTAAATATAAAAATGGATCATACACATAGGCTCTAGCAGACCTGCTGAGTCCATGCAGCAGTGCTCAAGATGCAATTGCTTCATCATAAATCTTGTTTTGTAAGGTGTCAACTGACTGTACAGTGGAGGAAGAGAGGCTCACCAGTGGGAGAGTTTGAAAGGCTTCCAAAATGATCTCTTTTAAAGTGTTTTTTCTTTCACAAATGTCTAAGACCAGGAGATTTTAATTAAGCTGCTGTTAGACTTGTGAACTTGGATGGATTTAAGAGAAGAGAAATAACATGTTGTCTTGCCAGACAAATTTTCAGGAGCTATTACTGTTCAAGATAAAAGGACCACTGGAAGCTGAGTATTGTGTCTATATTGCATCAGACTTATTGAAATAGAGCTACTGCAGTTCCTTTTACATTTTTCTGGCCAGTATTAGTGTTTGCATATGTCCTGTGGCTTATAAGTAGTTTGTGTTTTCTGGCTAGTGTCCACATATCATACAAAATAGAGAACATTCAGGGCTTAAATCATTATTTCACCTGCCCAGCTTAACAAGTGTTACATTTCCTGATACTTTTATTTGTCAACAAGAATCTTCCGTTAAGCTTGTCAGTGGTAGAACTGCATATATCAGAGGTGCTCAAACCCAAGTCCATGGGTCAGATCCATCCTATGGCCTTGTGTCATCTGGCCTACTGGGCTCCCCATGGGTCTAGAAATTTGGCAGTTGGAGAGTGGTGGCATCGCTCCCCCACTGGCAAATTTCTGGACCCATGGAGAGTCCTGGGCCCTGAATGCTGAAATAGGTACCCAATCCCAGCACACTGGGCCAGAGGAGTGTTGGGCCTGTGGGCCCAATCTCAGCACACAGGGGCTGGGAGGGGGTGGTGCTGGACCCCAACACCCTGTGCTGGTGTGGGGGGCCAGGAGGGAGTGGTGCCAGACCCTCAGGACCCAATCCCAGCATGCTGAGATGGGACGGGATGGTGCCAGGTTCCTGGGGACCAATCCCAATGGGAGGGTGATACTGGCCCCTGAGGGCCTGGGATTTGTGCATGGGGGCAGAAGGGGGTGCTGCTGGGCCACAGGCCCAATCCTAGCATGTGAAGCTTGATCCAACTCGCAGACTGGCTCCATACCACTCATCTGGCCCATGGGGCCAAAAGATTGAGCTCTACTAGCATACGCAAAGACGAAGTGGGGAGCATCCATTTGATGTTTGTCTGTGTTCCATTTGCCATTATGAAAATGTGGGGCTTAGATAGAAAAGACCGTTCTTGGAAAAAATGGGATATATGTCTATGGTATTCTGGCCTTTGTGAATATGGGGCTCAGAAAGAACCTATTCCACCCTGAGAAGGTGAGGGTTTTTGTTTTTTTTGTTTTTTGTTTTTTTCAGTGTCTAGGGCAGTGAATAGGGGGAATTAAACTGAATAATGCCCATGACTGTGAGAAATCTGTGAGGAGAAGGACTGGGAGTAATTTTTCTAGGTTAGTAAGAAGCACAGAGCAGTTAGAGATTGCACTTTTCCTTGAAGGTCCTAAAGTAGTTGGACTCAGCTTCCAGAAGCTGAGAGACCAGTGAACAGAGTGCTTGGGTGAACTATGGTGTGTTCTTTACATGTTCTTCAGACCTTTGGGTTCTTGT